TGTCTATGGACACAGCGTACATTCATGTCTGTAGGACAGCACTGATTTTTGTGTAAATTCACAATTGACAACACCACAAAGTCCAAGAATTTCAGCACATTGTTGGCATTCAATTTTTGTCCATGTTTTGTTTCTTTTTAGAAGCAGTGAGAGAGAGAGAGAGAGAGAGAGAATATCAATGGGAGCGAGACACATCCTGCACATGCCCCAACTGGCACAGAGATGAAACCTGAAACCCACATACATGCCCTTCACCAGGACTTGACCCGCACACCCTTCGGTCCTTGGACCCACACTCTGACCACTGAACCACAAGGACAATTTTAACATATAATTTTTGATGGTACTATTTCCTACAGCACATTCTAAGCTCACGTGTTTTGTGTGACCGGTTAAACATCCGATTCAATAGGCAGAAAGCCACACTCTTATTTCCAATGCTGCTTATTGCTCTATTGGCAAGTAGTCTAATCCCATGATGGTGAAGAATTATTGTCTTGGTACAAGGGTAAGTGATGGCATAGTTGCGTTAACAACTTTGGGGGAAGATTAAGTTGAAAAGGAGGCTAACGTATTGCTTTTATGTCCTTTGAAATATAGTGGAAATGAGCAGGAAATGCCAGAAGACTGGAAGCTTTGAGCAAAGAGCAGTAGGTGGGACTGGCCACATATTTGGGGCCACAGGCTTCCTCATTCACATCGGGGGAACTCCACTGCCCCTTCCCGACACACGGCTTGAAATGACTCCTCTGATGTCATCGCCTTGTATCCTGGTTTGCATATAAATTCAGTGATATCCCTGCTTTTGCATAGGTTTTGTCATTGTCCCCTTTTAACTGTATGTTCTTTTCATTCATGATTTCGTAGCCTTTTTATAGTTGATAACTCTTATCATGTAGGATTCTTGGCCCTCACAGCTCCTCAGGAGGCAGCTGCTCCTCCTCACACACCAGGAAGCTGAGGGGACGGAAGGTCAGGCACACTGTCCAAGGTCACAGCGCTCATCAGGCGGACGATGAGTGTGGACCCGGCAGTGTGACCCCAGGGCCTTGGCTCTCTGTCTGTGGGATGTGGGGCACCCATACAGGTGATGTACAAATACATTAGCTGTTTCCATTATTTTGTCTTCTAAGCTAGTCATTGGGTTGAAACTTTACTTGTTTATAAAAAAGAAAGATTATTACTTAATTTTATTTATTTCTTCTACTTTCACATCCATGTGTAATCTGGGGAAAACATGAATGAAAAGAACATACAGTTAAAAGGGAAAGATGTGAATGAAGAAGCCCTGTTGCCCCAAATATGTGGCCAGTCCCACCTACTGCTCTTTGCCTCAAAACTTCCAGTCTTCTGGCATTTCCTGCTCTTTCCCACTATATTTCAAAGGACATAAAAGCAATACGTTAGCCTCCTTTTCAACTTAATCTTCTCCAAAGTTGTTAACGCAACTATATCATCACTTACACTTTTACCAAGACCATGATTCTTCACTATCATGAGATTAGGATACTTGGCAGTAGAGCAATAAACAACAATGGGCGTCACAGCGCGGCTCTCTGCATATCCAATCAGATGGTTAACCAGTCAAACAAAACATGGGAGCTTAGAATACACTGTGGGAAATCGTACAATAAAAAGTTGTGTGTTAAAATTGTCCTTTCTGGTGTGGTCAAGTGGTCACAGCTTTGGCTTGAGGACCAAAGGGTCTGGGGTTAGATACCTAGTCAAGGGCATGCACCTGAGTTGCAGGTTTGATCCCTGTCCCAGTTGGAGGATGTGCAGGATGCAAGCAATTGATGTGTCTCTCTCACATCGATGTTTCCTCTCCCTCTCCTTCTCCCTCCCTCCCTCTCTCCATCTCTCCTCCTCCCCTTCCTACATTCTCTTACTGGAGTCAGAGGTGAATCGTGGACTGAAGGAGACTTGTTGTGAGAAAGAAGGACAGTTCTTGTTGTTCCCACCTGTGGGGTTTGAACTGTTTGACAGAGTCAAAGCTTTGCTCTTCTATTTGACAAAAATAATCAGTTATTTTAAAGTGACAAATCTTAACTAATCTGGTCAATGAACAATTTCCCTGATCCTAAGTCAATATGGGAACTGAATTTTTGTTTTCTCATAACCCATTGTGAAAGCACATGAAAACAATTCCAAGTGTCCTCCAAGTAGAGGGGGTATAGGAGGCAGCAGGTAGATGTTTCTCTGTCCTTGTAGATGTTTCTATCTCTCCCTCTGCCTCCTTCTCTCTCTAAAGGGAAATAAAACATGTGAAAAATATTGAAGGCGAAGAATGTGCTGAAATTCTTGGACTTGGTGGTGTGGTCTGTTGTGAGTTTACAAAAAAATCAGTGCTGTCCTATGGACAGGACCATACACTGTGTGGATACACTAGCTGGTGTCCATAGACCCCTAAGGACTGTAGTCCGTTGAGAGAAAGTCACAGGAGCATGCAGTCAGTCAGAGCTATTTCCAAGTGAATCTCCTGGTTGAGAAAGAGCCTCACCCATTCTCAAGAAGTGTTTCACTTAAAAATAAATGTATTTTTTATCACTTTTGGATCCAGTTTATAACTTTTCTAAGGAAATTTGTACATGTCTGGGAATGAAGTCAAGAAATGATTGTGAAATCATTCACGAAAATTTACGGACGCTCCAAAACTCTTTGAAATTTAATATCTACCAAGTGACCTCAGTGAGCTAGCATCCTGGTATTTCATGTATATCTGGGGTCTCACTCACACTTGGTAAGGGCTCTTGAAGCAGATTTAAACCCCAAACAACAGCATTGGGCGATCTGCGCTAACACCCCCGGGGGAGCCCGCCATGCAGTTACTAGTCACGGTCATCCTCACCCTGTGGGTCTCCTGGGCTCGTGGACAAGGTGAGTTGAAATTTACGGGAATATTTAGCTTCCTTCCTAAGTAGGATTGGACCTTTATCATTTGTCTTTAATTTTTTTGAATCCTCTCTCCATTGATCTTTAGAAAGAGAGGAGAATGGAGGGAGAAGGGAGAGGCAGAAAGAGAGAAAAAAGGGTAGAAGGAGAGGCAGAGAGATAAATATGTGAGAGAGGCTGGGTGCCTCTCACCCAAGCCCCAACCAAGGGCCTGGGATGGAACTGCCACCAAGATATGTGCCCTTGACCAGGAGTCGAACTCACTGGCTATGGGTATTGGAGGGTAATTTACCAACACTGGTCTCTGCATTCATTAGGGACAATCTCTGACAACAAGTCATTGGCAGGAATGATGAAAAGTACTGAGACCGGCTAAATAAAAACCACCTTTGGCCCAATTCATCCGTCCCCTGTGCAAACTGGATATTTCTACTGATTCACAACAGGGAGTGCCCATGTGGGATTATTATTCTTATCCCAAATCTCAATGATGGTTTCTAACAGTAGGAACAATGTGGCCTCACACTTTGTACTATCTCAGCTGTCACTCTTTTGGACAGAGGCCCCGGCAATGTTTTAACAGCACCGTTTACTCTCATGGAGATGATGAGAGTGAGGAATTACAATTTGTCAAGGGATGTATGCCCACTGCTTGAAAGCACCCACCAGAAGTTCTTCTATTCCTAACTAATCTAACAAGATTCTCCCAATAGCATTTGGTTGGTCTCTTAGGGAAACGGTGTTTTTATATGTGTCTCAGAGCTTTTGGCTTCAAGCATTGGTGTCAATGAAAAGATGCCTACGCCAGCCAGTGTTGTATACTATGAAGTGAAAACTAAGATATGTAACTGGACTGCAATGGTAACATGAAAATATGATAGATATAGCAGATTAAAATGTGAGAGAAAATAAATGTATTTTTTATTTTTAATTTTTAAAATATAGTTTATTGACTGCAGAGTGGAAGGAAAGGGAGAGTAGAACCATCAGTGATGAGAAAGAATCCTTAATCGGCTCCCTCCTTCACACCCTCTCCTGGGGATCAAGCCCCCAATCCAGGCATGTGCCCTGACCAGGAATTGAACCATGATTTCTTGGTTCATAGGTCAATACTCAACCCCCAAGCCACACCGGTCTGGCAAAAAAAATGAACATTTTTCAGGTTCATTTGAGATTAGTGTCAATTAACATTAAACTCTGGAGACATATTTTATTTAACACTTGTGTCTAGAAGGTCACATATATTTTCTACTAGTTTCTATATAATTGTTTTACACACACACACACACACACACACCATACATACATACAGGATGCTCTTTGAATTCCCTTTTGCTCTTTGGAAAGAACAAAAAACAAGACATTCACTTTACTCTCATGTCCTTGATGATTTTCATGTGATTTCTGCTTAACACACTTGTCCTTTTACTTTTCAGAAATAGCATGTGACCCTCCAATAATTGAAAATAGTTACTACATTCCTAAAAGGACCAATTACGGACTGGGACAAGAAATCACCTACTACTGTACAACTGGCTTCTTCCCTTCCTCCTGGGGAAATACTGCAACATGTACTGACAAAGGCTGGGATCCTCCTCCAAGATGTAGCTGTAAGTTCCCTCCATATCTTCACCTGCTTCTTAATTCTGCAATTACTTGTCTTAAATTTAAAAATAAGGGGGATTATCCTGACTGGCATGGCTCAGGGGTTGAGCTCAATTCTTGGTCAAGGTACATGCCCAGTTTGAGAGCTCAATCCCCAGTGTGGGGCATGCAGGAGGCAGCAGATCAATGATTCTCTCTGTTCATTGATGTTTGTGTCTCTTTCTCTCCCTCTCCCTTCCTCTCTGAAATTGATTTAAAAAATTAAAAGTTAAAAAAATAAAGGGTATCTCATAAGTTCAAATCTTTGCCTCCCTGAGAAGGTCAAGCAGAGGGCTTCGAGGCACTCTTTGATTTCTAAAATCCCCAATTCTAATTAAGATCAAAACCACATTTTTTGTTAATAAAAACTTTTAATTTTTGCTATTCAATGTAAAATATGTGTATGTGTATGTGCATGTATGAATATATATTTCTCTCACTAACATTCTAATATGTGAATTAGAATACTGGGTAAGAGCACTACCATTCAACACCTAGTACATGAGATATTGGTGCCTGTGTAACAAATGCAGCCCCCTGTGTGTCAGCGTCGGCGGGTCGGATTTGGGAGCCGCTTAGCTGCCTGGTTCTGGGTCCTCCCTGCTGCTCCCTGGGATGCGGCCCAGGCCAAGTGCAGGAGCCTCCACAGCCGTCCCCCTGGGCGTCCCCATCGGCGGCCTGAGGGCAGGAACCCGCCCAGAGCGATGACCTGAGGGCCCTGCAGGCGCCTCCAGAGCATCCATGACCTGGTCACATGGTCCGCTCACCCACGTGATCTCTTCAGAAGAGCACCCCTCAGTCCACCCTCACTCAAGGGAGGGGCACAGGGCTCCCTTGTATGAGGGGATGAATGTGGGAGACACTGTGCACTTTCTAAAGCCCCACCTGTCACACACGCCCCTCAGTCCACAGGGCACTTCATTCCTGGGGGGCGGCCCCTTTCCCAGTGTTTTCTGTCTCTACCATCTCATTGCTGCTCCTTGTGTATCAGCTCATTGGAAAAGGGGCCCGCACTTAAGCTGGATCTTCCATGGGTGACAAATGAAATGACACACATGACAGGTCAGTGGCTCAGGGTTGATTCAAGGCCAAGGCCAAATGAATGTGGACAGTCAGGCGCCTTAAAGAGGAGGCCATGACCACCGTGACAGAGACCTCAGAGTGCGTAACAATGACAAGG